GTGTGGGCAGGGAGGAAAATGTGCAACAATGAATGAATGAGGAAAAAATTAAATGGAAAGAATATGCTGTAAAAAATATATATGTTGCAGTTTAAAAAAGTAAACTGGAGAAGGGAAGGGAGGGCAAGGGAGTAAAATGTGCAAGAATGAATGAAAATCTAACTTCTTTATAAATGTTCATTAAAATCACAATTGAAATAAAATTTTATTTAAAAAAAATAGAAACATAACAATATTGCTGCTGCTTCATAAAGGGCTCTAAAGCCAGAAATTTAAAGCTCAACCTTTATATATACCACCCTCCCACATATCATTCCATTGAATTCAATGGAAGAAAAGTCCTAACTATAAAAGGCAACAGACTTAGCTTCTTGATTTTTATTTTTGCCCTGAAGGGAGTGGAAGAGCAAAGAAGTTTGATCTAGGGACGGACAGGTATATGAAGAACAGCTACTATCTCTTCTGGAAAAAGTATTCTTTGTACACTGTGCCTAAAAAAAAAGAAAATAACAAAGTGTATAGTAACACTGCACTATTAAAAACAATTTGATCTTCCTAAATGGGTCAGTCTACCAAAGATACTAGTATTCAATTAAAAGGTAAACAAACTACTGGATTCATGGAAAGCTCCACCACAGAGAATTGTATTTTCAACTAATAGTAACCCTGTTAAGACAGTTTCATAAAGAGAAATAAAATATTTTCAGTACTTGACATGGGTAATTAAATATATTCTTTTACCTCTACTCCTTTGTAAAACTCTTTCTATACCAACAATGAATGGCAAAGAGAAGATGAAGACAATGTAGAATGGTGATGGTAGCAGATAAGAAATGGTCATTAAATTTAAGAAAAAAGTCAGTAAAGGTAAAAATATTAACTAACTCAATAGTTAAGGCTTAAGGAGAAGCCAAGATGCAAAATGAGTCACATCAGAGAAACCCAGAAGGCTTAAAAATTGGACAATGGTATATATGCGGATGAACCAAAAACAGAAGGTATAAAATACATAAATAAATCAGACTCATGGATCCACTCTCTTTCAAACTCCTCCAAGGCAGTAGAAAAACCGCAAGTTTACTCACTGAACTGGCTGAACCACAGGTGCTCAGAACCCACATATTAGACTGTTATCTTTATAATAGTTAACTAAGCATCTTTATCCCTCAAAACACTTGGTGGATTTGAAAACAGCAACCTTTTGGAGAGAAATCAACACCATGCCACCGGGGCTCCTTTCTCTCTATATATACTACACACTATACACCCACACATAAACACCTATGTATAACTCTACTAGATAAATAGGTATATGACTCAGGTGCTGTATTTAAAAGACAGGTATTGTGAAATCTAAATACTACAAAGCTACTTCACCACCACTCCCTGAACTCCTTCTCTCCAAAAGGACTTCACAACATCAGCAGCCAAACTTATGCCCTTCAGTCTGTCACTTAAGGAGCCCTCTTGGGAAAGTAACTTTTTTTTTGGAAAGTAACTTATGGGAAGGTATCTAGTTAGTAACAGCTGAGTGACAGATAAGAAATAAAAATGAACGGGTCTGACCAATTACCCGAGTGAAGTCCACAATTTCATAAGCTTTTCATATACACAAAACTACCAACTGGCAATCTTGTGAAAGGAAGCTTAAGAGGCAATGACTGCCAACCTTAAGCTTCTAAACTCAAAACTATCAGTCTACTATAAAGAGAGAAAGGGAGGTGATTCTGACATTCAGGATCACAATAATTTTACTCCCTATGCATGTTATCTTAGGAAACTACCGGTGGATAGGCCCCAACAAAACAAGTAATAAATGTGCAATATGAGAAGGGATGAAAAAAAATAGGTAAAAAAATATAAAGAAATAGGTAAAAGGCAAAAGGAATTCCCAAGCCGAATGCTATAAAACAGGCCTACAAAACCAATCTAAATTGGAACAGAAAACATGAACAAGAAAAAAAATAAAACATAATACCCTGAAAGGGTGCAGCCCAAGTGCTTTTTTGAGGCAAGAATGATGAGGCCTCGCCTCATACACTTTAGGCATGTTGCTAGGTGCGCCTGGCTATTTCTTGGAGAGGAACATGATGCTGGAAAGGGTGGAGAGTAGGTGAAGGAGAGAAGAGCCTCAACTAGATAGACTGACACAGTTACTGCTGCAATGGTCTGTTATGTTTCAATGTAAGTATGAGAATGGCACAGGATAAAACAGGGTTCAGATCTTTTATTCATAAGGTCACTATGAGTTGTACTCAACTTGACGGCACCTAACAAAAATTCCTTGAAGGTTCTGGTGGCCCACGTAGTAAAGAGCTGCAATGCCATTCCCAAAGGCATGAGGTTTGAATCCATCAGATGCTCTATGGGATAAAAATGGGCAGTCTCTTTCCATGCAATTTACTAGCTCTGAAAACCTGCTGGAGGGTCAGCTATGGGTCAGTTTCGTTAGATGTGACAGTAAAGAACAAGTCCCTGAAGGCAGGCCATGGAAATTTATACTTCCAGTAGAGTATCTAGGGATAAATTACTAATAGATCAATAGATTAGAGGTCAGCAAATTTTTTTCCTATAAAAAGTCAGTAAATATTTTAAACCAAATACTTCAAACTCTGAGGCCTGTAACAACTATTCAAGTCTGCTGCAATGTTAAAGCAGTCATTAACCACCCAATGAATGAGAATGACTGTGTTAAAAGAAAACTTCACTGAAATCAGTGGCAGACCAGATTTCAGCTATAGCTCATAGCTATATAATGTATTATATGGTTTGGCTACAGTAATTATGATATATAAACAATAAATATTTTTACCAAAACTCTTAATTACACTGTCAAGATAAAGCGTGAAGAAAAGGAAAGCAAAGAGTATGTGGTGCAAGAATGCAAACACATAAATGTTGAAGAAAGGGAAGAAAATTCTTAGGTAGCTAAACCTAAGATATAAGTTTTAATTGTGAATAAATGATATTACTTAAAACCTTAGAATAAATATTTCTTACCCCTGAAATTTTAAACAGAGAAATAATACAGCAGATTAAAGAATTAAAATAATTCATTCAAGTGACTACAGCTCAAAATTGCAGTATTTCCAATTCTGGAAATCTGCCTGATTCCTTAAAATTCTAAGTATTCCTAACTGCCAACCCAATCAATCTATTTCTGTTTTCTAACTGCCTGTCTAAATATTTATTCCTCCTTTCCTTTAAACAAAAGATTTCTTATTTCTTTATAACCACTGAGTCCAAATTTTTTAAACAATTTTTTTTTTACTAATGCATTCATTAAACTATGGATAATATTAGATCAGTTAAGAGTTCCTAGAAAACAATTTCACTTCAGACCACTATTTGCTTGTTTCTTCTCCCTTCTGACTTCTTCCTATCTGGAATTCACTGCACTCACTGGGTTCGGGAGTATGGAAGCCAAAGGCTAAACAAAGTCAATCAGAAAAGTCCAGGGAACCCAAGTCTCTGGTAATATTTTTAAGCAATTGTACCAGTCATAAACTACCTAGCTCCAGATTCCTTGCTACTAAAAAAAACTAGTTAAATACAGTTTGGTTTTATGTTATTTGCCACTGAATGCATTTCTAGCTTGTATTATTAACTATTTTAACATATGTTCATTTTCATTTTCAAAGAAAAAAAATATGAAAGAAATCTTAAGTTCTCCAATCTCACCTACCCAGTTTATTAAAACTAAGAAAATAAATTTGAGGGGAGCTCTGATGACCTACTGGCAAGAAGCTGCCCTGCAATCCCAGAGATATGCGGTTCGAATCCACCAGATGCTCTGCCGGAGAATGAGGGGCAATCTCCTCCTGTACCAGTCAGATTCGATTTGACGGTACACACACAAAATAATAAAACTTAAAAAAGAAAAAGAAAATAAATTTGAAAAAATTCCAGATGCATATGAGGGGGGAAGGGGCACGGGATAAAAGATAGCAGGCCTTCAAGAATTATTAAAATCATGACCAAATGTTTATTTTATATTCTCTGATATTTTTCAGGGAAAATGAATACATTTCCTTCAAATTTCTCTTCTTCTCCATCCCATACACTTACTAGTGTTAATCTCCCATCAAAGTCTGAATCTTCTGTAGTAACCATAAAATTTTACTTGCACAGGAAAAGATACCTATCTTCTGTGTTTCATCTTGAGCTAGTCTAGTCATAAATTCCAAGCTCAAGCAATGTATAAACCTTCCAACAGTAAAGACGTCTTCTAAAGACACACATTTAAACTAAGACAAATTGAGAGATTGGGTAATAAAAAGGGCTAACCTATTTAAAAATGTAACTACAGATCACCATCTTTAACAAATGATGCTGGATGTATCACTGAAGCAGAATTAACTCATAGCTGACCCCTCAGTGGGTTTTCAGAGGTAGTAAACTGTACAACAAGAGACTGTCCATCTCTCTTCCATGGAGCATCTGGAGGATTTCCACTGCATGTCTTTGGGTTGGCAGTCCAACTCCTTACTACTAAGCCAGAGCACCATTAACAGATGTTACTATCATTTAATTTTAATCAGTACTGTGCAGTTATTTCCATTAGCATTTAGAAAAATACACTTCAAAAATTAAGCCTGGAAAAGTCTTTAAAAGTTCTTCAGCTCTTACTAAACACGTACAAACAATGGAGAGACCTTAAACTGTAAAGAAGAAAAAAAACTTTAAAAAACCCAAACATCTTAAGGCTCTACTTTCATTTCACATTTTTTTTCTACTTTGCCAAATCAAACGTTAGGCTACAGTATTAGCAGACATGTCTATTCCCACTGCAAAACAAACAAACCAAAAAAACCCCCAAACACATTTTAAAATTTGTAAAGAGAGAAATGATGTGACTAGAGAGTCTAAACACATGTAGCACTTTTCTGAAGTTAACCTCATGAATAAGTCTGTAATATATTGGCTTGTTTTATTGCATTTTTTGTAAAAATATAAAAAACCTAAAAAAATAACAATTGTGTTTAAACAAGATAGCTTACCTTTTATTTATAGGTTTTTCATCTTTTTCATATGGTTTTACAAACCACTTGCCAATACGAACAAAATTCCGGTTCATTAAACACCGCTCCAACAGATTATGAACTGCTTTGAAAAGCAGAGTACGGCACTCATAAGACAGTCCATTCTCCCACACTCCATCTTCCTCTTCTATATGAAAAATGAAATAAATAAAAATCAGAAGAGTGTCATTATATTTAGTACAGCTAAAATCCTGTTTTCATAAACTCACTTCGTAATGTTGAGCTACAATTATTCCATTTGTCTCGATACATCAAAACATCAGATTTCAAATTTACCAAAGGAATAAATTCCATGTATTCTATTAAAGTAGCTGAAAATGTTTTCCAAACACATAAAAGGATAATGATATACAAGTTGATTTGCTTCCATATCAATGAAAACAGTGTTTGTATAATCTGGGAACTATTATATACACCACAGCTAAGATGTTCATTTCTAGGCTGGTTCACTTGTTACTTACTTTGTCCTAATTCCTCCATTCAACTTGCCAAAAAGAAAAAAAAAATAACTGATAAATAATTAAACTAAAAACATTTTATGTTCACCAACATTGTAATCTACACTACTCAACTATAATATTAAGCAATGAATAAAAAGAAGCAACTGGCAAAAAGCCTAACAAGCGCTACCAGCCACCCTGGTCTCATTTCAATCAAATCATTCTAATGATTACTACTCAATATAAGAGCTTCTACTTGGAAGAGAAATTTAAAGACTTAGATTTTAAATGTCAGTTTTGTTATATGAAGACACAGTTATCTTCACTAACTCTGCTGCCTCAGTTTTGTCAGCAAATCTATTAATAACTCCAAGTTAGTAACACATACACACACACATTCCAGTTCATACTGAGATGTCTGAACACAGTTTTTTTCTGCAAAAACATGTTTTAAAAGGAATAAAGCTCATAGTCAGAACTTACAAAAGAAAGGACAAAATAAATTAAAAACACAAGACTTTAACTGCATATAAACTCTGTTCCACTACAAAAGTTAATGCCAATTTTATGTTGTTTTTTGAAGCATTCCTAAAATTATAAATTTTTTAAATCAACTACTTACATTTTTTCTAAAAATAGAAGCTTTTGAAAAACAAATGAGCTTTAAAAAAGACAAAACTTTATAGTCAGAATGAAAAAAAATCTAAAAGTCATTAACAGGAAAATTGTTCACATGCCATTATACTGAAGACATTCTTACGCACTTCTAAATAAAAAAAGCTTACAGTATTCACTTTACTGACAAATTCTTTTTTGTAGCCATTCATATTTTTAAAAAATATTTACGCTAGATCACAAGTGTATTTTTGAGTTGCTGAGAAACGATGAATCTTTCCTAACTGACTACTTTCAAGCTAATAAGGTCTTATAAGTTTTCTCATTTCAAGATTAAAGAGACACATTGTTTTATCTAAAATTATGTGACTTATGAATGCTAAAACCATCCACATTCTTAGTTCCAGAAGAACTGTTAAAATTACCTCCCCTTCTTTATAAACTATTAATATACTTTATTTTTATTCTATTTTACCTGAAAATGCTATTTCTTAAGAATCACGTAACACTAGATCTATTTAAGTAGCCTTTAACAAGATCTTTAATGTTCTAATTACTTTTTTAATTTGTTTTTTTTAAAAAAATAATTTTAATGAACATTTACAGAAATTTTGGATTTCCATTCATTCATTGCTGCACTTCTCTCCCCGCCCAGCCCTCCTCCCCTCCCCCAGTTGGTTCCTCTCTTCAAAAGTAAAAGAAACAATCCCTCTCTGGTACACAATCCCCACCCCACCCCCCACCGCCGCACCCCTCCCACCACCCCAAGTACATTCCACTATGGTTCTAATTACTTTTAAAGTATCGAAGACCCAAAACATGCAATCACATAATCACACATGGATCAAGGACACGTAGTTGCTATCAACTTCCAGTATCAGAAAATAATTCTCTTAAAATGTGAAAATTTGTCTTCTTCCTAAGAGTAATAATTTTTTTTAACAGCAAGAGCTATAAGCCACCACTTGTTTTCCAATTTATTGTAAAGTGATAGCGTGTTACAATGATGCTGGAAATGCATGTATCTCAAAAACCATGGTGGACATGTTTCAGCAGAACTTCCTGACTAAAATAGACTAAGAAGGGATGATGATCTCAGAACCCTGCTGCTGTTGCTGTTGTTAGATTCTGTCAAGTATGACCTATAGTGACACTATTAACAACCAACTTGAACATCCACATCATCTCTGAAACACTTAAGCCCATTGCTGAAGTCACCTGTCAATCCATCTTACTGAACACTCATCTTTCCAAGCATATTCTCCCTTTCCAATGAATAGCCTCACCTCGCTACATGTTCAAAGTATGAAAGGTGAACTTTCACCATCCATGCCTCTTCTCCAGAGGCTCCCTCAGAATACTGTCTAATGTAGTGCTAGAAAATGCAACCTCTAAGTAGGAAGGCACTATACATTCACCACAGCAACAGACACAAACATACCAATGATTACAAAGATGGTACAGGACTAGGTAATGTTTTGGTCTATTACACCTAAGGTGTCCATGAGTTGGATTCAAAAAAAGGTAATTTATATAAATTTTCACATAAAATTTTATGATGCTATTTCATTTAAATTAATACTTTATAAATTTTCATTAAATGATCAATGAATTGGCTGAAAAATACAGAACATATTTTTTTGAGAAATAGAGCATTAATTTTCAAAGCTCTCTCACTCTAAATTATATCACAGAAACTCAGGTGAACTTACTGCTTTCAGGCGAAGATAGAGGAAGTCATATTATCCTCTCCAAAAACCCAGTTTTCATTAACACTAAATAGGAGTCGAGCAAACAAAGCATACCATTACACTGAAGCAATCCTAGTAATTATGAAAAAACTTGAAAGTTCTCCCTATCCCTTGGCCTTTTCTTGGATTTTAGGGAGATGTAGTAACATATAATAAAACTAATTTCCCATATCTCTGCTGAGATATGAAAAGTGAAATTGCAAATCTAAAACATACGCACTTCTCGATATTGTCATCAAGTCAAATACAACTCATATGTACTTTATGAACAACAGTTCTGATCTTTTCCTTACCCTGTACTATCCTCATCATTTATGTCATACTCAAGTACACAGCCCTTTGCTGCTGTCTATGTGTTAATACATCCTGCTGAGGGTTTTCCTTTTACTTACCTTCCACCTTTCCAAGCATGATGTCTTTTCCAAGGATTTGCCAGCCTCCTAACAACATTCCTGAATATAAAGACAAATATCATCCTTGCCTCTAAGGAGCAACCTGGTTGCACTTATTTCCAAGTCCTATTTCTTTGTTCTTTTGGTAGTGCATAGAATATTCAGCACTCTTCTCCAACACTCTCAAATTAATTGCTGTCAAGTTGGAACCAACACAGAGGTGACCCTTAAGTGGGCTTTAGGATGTTGTAAATCACATAGGAGAAAACCGCCCATGTTTATTCCCTCAGAGCCTGTGAACCACTGGTGGATCTGAATTACCAGATAGTTGTGAATTCAAAGAATTATCAACACAACTCCCTACAGACTAAGACCAGAACTCCCAATCTCTCACATTTAGTTATGACAAAAATTTGACCAAAAATACACAAAAGAAACTAGCCTACTGGGCTACTAACTTAAAATAATACACAACTCATAGGCCCTGGGTCCAGAAAAATAGCTGGTATCCACAACAGATGGATCTTGATAAAAGAAAAATTACAACCAGAACTCAAATTCTTAAAAAGTTCAGATTTCATTTGACCAGGTGCAATGTGATGACTCTCAAGACTACTTCCCTGAGCCATTCTTCAAAACCTTCAAATGCAATTATCCTAAACTCAACTTTTAGGGCAATAGACTGATATACAAAAATAAAGGTTATGATCCAGAAGCGTGGTGTTTTACATTACATTTTATTTTCTGTTTTTGGTACTTTTCAATTACTATTAGCATTAGAACTTTATCATTATGGTTACTTCAAAACTTTCACGAAGTAATTATGTAAATAATACAAAAGGTTAAAAAAACCAAATGTGAATAAACATAAAGAAGTTTGTGGCGGTGTTTCTTGGTGTGTTTGGTACTAATTATATATAATGATGATCAAGTATGTTTTAAGTCATTAAATTAAAAAATAAATAAAAAACTAAAATGCTGATATGTCTGGTACGAAACATTTTCCTCACACTTGGCGTATTTAAGTATCTCTAAAATGTTTAGCTAATTAACAACAACAACAAAAAAATTGTTCTTACAATGTGAACAATGAATGGCTCAAAAGTAAAGTGTAGAAAAGACCATATATTTCCTGAAAGAATAAAGAGAAATACTCAAATATCTTAACAAAAATTCAATTGGACAAATGCTATTTAGAGCCTTAAACTGGCAGCATCAGTCATAACAAAGCTGGAAAGCTTTGGTTTAAAAGCAGCTTAACACGTTGTTCATTATCTTTAAAGAGTAAGAAAATAACATTTTCCAACTCAAAAAGGACAATACATAGCTAAAATAAGGCAAACAATAAAGCTGCCACCTAGAAAATTAGCCAATATAATAACATGGGCCACAATTACATTAGAGAACAGAAGATACAAATTCTCAAGTTAACATTTAGAACCACAAAACCATTGCTTGTTGAGCTGATTTCAACTCATGACCTTCCCATGTGTCAAAAGTTGAAGTATATTCTATCAGTTGATTTTTTTGAAAGCAGAACTATCATGTAAGGCATTTCTGGATGGACTCTGCATCATCAATCCTGTTACCAGTCAACCATCTTAATGGTTTTTATACCACCTAGGGACTCTCTTTAGGCTAGCTACTAGTTTCTTACTTTAGCTAATACTACATTCCCATGCTTGGCTCCTGTTTATAGATTTGTCAATCCTGTTGGAAGCTGCAGTCTAAGATTAAAAACCACTAACAATTAATACACTTCAATGAAAGTACCTCAAGTTAAGATTACCTAAAGCCTGATGCAGTTTGAGCAAAATTCAATATAGTAACACCCTTAACATAATGAAAATATTTAAATAGTGCTAAAATTTCATGTATAGACCAAGGGATCCAAGAAAACAAGTATTTTAACCCGGAGTCTAGATTTTTGCTTAATGCATTTTTAGTTCTCAAGCTGTCCATTTTCTCAGTATATTCATAATGTTCTACTAACTCACTATGATTTCTTTTTTTTTAAAGATGTCAAACTTAGAAGGAATAAGTAGCCTTTATTTTTGTTATAAGAATGAAAAGCCAATGATTATGGCCATAGAATTCCAAAGATGTTAGAACACAATAAAAATACCCTGACAAACCAACCGTATACTTAAAAGAACCCGACACACTATGGAGATTTGACTAGAGGGACTGAACCAAGATTTTTATCATTAACATCACTAATTTTATATTTTTGTCACCGACTACACCTCTGAATAAGATGTTACAAAGTTTACTTTTAAAGGAAGCCCACACTCCCTTAACCCTTAATTTCTCTGTATTAAAAACATCAACTGCAATTTCACTATCCATTCTCTTCAAAGTAGAACACAAAGTAAACAACAGACATGTTTGGCTTCAGGAGGATATAAAGACATTTTTTGAACAGGTATCTTTCTGGAATGTTTTGGTAAGATTAATGTTAGAGAAAATCCCATTCCAAGTAACACCAAACTGCAATTATTAAACAGTATTTAACTACTGAAGATTTAATCAGGTTTTTATTCCTTGGAGGACATTATATTGGGAGGGGTGGAGGGTTAGCGAAGGAGAAGATGACACTCAACTAGATGGATTGATATGGTGACTGCTGCAATGGGCTCTTGTGTGTCTGGAAGTGTGAGCCTGGTACAGGATAAAACAGGGTTCAGATCTTTTGTTCATAGAGTCACGCTGTGTCATGCTCAACTAGACGACACCTAACAACAACAATAACAAATCAGGTTTGGTTTGCTGAAAGTGATCTTCATCAATTAGTGTTAAAATGTGTTTACATCCAAATGAATACCAAGTAGTATAAAAGAGGCAAAAGTTTTAAATCCTGGTTGGACTCTTTATAACTGTCAAGATCATAAAAAAATAAGATCTGAAAAACTAAGTCAAGAGTAACTAAAAGACAATTAATTTCAATGTGGTATCTTGAAAGAGATCCTAAAACAAAACAAAAAAAAGACTTTAGATAAAAACAGGTAACAAGTATCGACTTTGGTTAATAATCTTGTGTCCATACTGAATTCTTAGTTATGACAATGTACTACAAATTAATGTAGGATGTTAACAAAGGAAACTGGGTGAGTGGTATTTTAAAACAATGCTGTTGAGTCAACATGGACTCAAAGTTACCCTGTAGGCAGCCTCATAGAGCTTTCAAGGTGACAATCTTTATGGGAGGAGACGGCCACATCTTTCTTCCACTAAGCACATGGTATGCTTAACACCCAACTTTTAGGATGGTAGTCAAGTGCATTAATTACTGCGGGTTCTTGGGGTACAGTCCCTAAACCACCTCTACAACTTTTATGTAAATATAAAAGTTAATTTTCACTATAGATAATTTACAAGGAAAGGCAGGTCTGTACTTCTGTCATTGACTATTGCATTTACTAAAAACTGAGAAATTTATTCGTTACAAAAGAAGTCTTCTCTCTTGCCACCACCACCAAAAAGAGCAATATATCACTATAATCACAAAGGTTTGAATAACAAGACATGGTAGGTACTAAACCAAACAGAAGGACCCTGTGAATAGCAGGCTCAAGCTATTAACATAGCTTTCAGTTACCACCTGGGTCCTTCCGGTTACCCTTCTCTCAGTGCTACACCTCTACTTAGAACTCAGGATTCCCTCCTGCACCTGATGCCTCCCCCACTGTCCAGCTGCTCTCTTCTCATGGGAGTGTAAAAGAAGGGAAGAGAGTGCCACAGATGGGAAGAAATGAAAAAGGGGTTAGCGAGAGAGACAGAGGCGGACTAATTACCCCAAAAGGGAGGCAGACGGTGTCCCTGGAGTAAAAAGAGCGAGACAAATATACTCCATGTGAAAAGACCTTATTATTCTTTAAGATCTATCTGACTTAAGTACCAACATTCTAAAGTAAATGACAGGTTAAAAGAAAAACCAAAACATTCTATAAATACCCCTGACTACAAACTAAATCACTATACAGAAGTCTTTAGGTAAATAAATATGATTCCATGTTAATTGTATTTCAGTTTTAACAGGATACAATTGTTTCCACTTGGATATATTTTTAAACATTATTTACCACTATTCAAGTGTTTGGTAAAATCTGGTAACAAATTTAAATCTTATTTTCCAAAATTACTCTTACTCACATTCAAGACTGCTACTTACTGACAATATCCACTTAAAAAAAAAATCATCATACTAAAACTAAAATGAGAAATTTTTAAAAACAAACTCAATTTCAATATAAACATATGATTAATAATATGAAACCTAGAAAAAACTTAACTGTTAACAACATTCATCAAAACAGTTCACTAACTTTATCAGGTTTTATATTTTCAAAATATTAGCTCTACTACAGTGAAACTAGATACTACATATATCATTAAAATGATCTTTGATTCCACAAAAAGTATTTTATGGCATCTTCTAAAATAAATCTATTCAGATGTTCTTGCAATTTTATTAAAAATACTGAAATCCTCAAGTGAGGATTATAGTTTAACAACATTAAAATGGTTTCCAAACATTTAAATAAAGTAGTTTTAATATAAAGATTAAAATAAACCAAGTATTTCAAAGTCACTGAAAGAAAGCAGAAGCTGGCCGACTTAGCTCTAGATGTCGCCACTAAAAAGTGTTACCTTACTGATGCCATAGACAAGTCTAGTTGCCCGATAGGAAATAGGTTGTGCTTCTAAGCCAAATAAATGCAGGTGATTTTAATCCACCAGCCACTCCAAGGGAGAAAGATGGGCAATCTCTTCCCACACAATATACTGCCTTTGAAAACCCTCTGGAGGCTCAGCTATGAGTCGGTTCTGACTAAGCAGCAATGGCGTTTTGAGTTGCCATATACACAAACATACATATCTCTATCTCTCTCTCTCCAATTTACCTGTTTATAACTATACCACATACTTAGCACTAAGGACTCGAGTCTCCAGCAGAGTGCTGATTAGGAAAGTTGAAAAACTTTACGACAAAAATATGGCCAATAGCAAAAAATTAGGATTAACACTTATGGAGGTAAAAACTAACTACCAAAACCAACAGCCACAAGATGCACATTCCTATATACAAAGGCTAATCTGACTAGATAATTGAGATAAAGATTCCTGTACTATATTTTTTTAAAGGGGGAGAAGGTCTTAAAGTACTAAATTTTAGAGTATTGCTTGTCCAAAATTGCCTGACAGTTACTCAATTTGCCTGTTAAGAATCATCAACAAATTACTGTCTTTAGTACTCTGTAGCACACAACTAATCATTTACATTCCTACTGCCAAAAATTCAATTAATATTGACTCTTACAATCTAAAGTAAATGCAAGTTTCAGTAGTTTTACATGAAGAACAAGAATTTATCTTCTGAATTAACAATTCTAAAATTCATTATAAGGAAGAAATTATATTAATACATTTACAATAAAATCATTTCTGCATAATCTTTCAGATTATAATCACATTCTGTGAAAACTAAAGTTGATACTTGTTTCATATTAATGATTATTTGATACATTCCAACAAAAAGTATCTAATAATAAAATTAACATATACCTTCAAATGTTAACAGAACAAGTAACAAATTAACTATGTACTATAAAAAAGATCAGACATTTTACATTTCTAAATCTTCCTGTAATTGCCTATTTGTGCAGAACAGTGGCAGAAATGACTCACACACACACAACACACACACATATTTACACTTGGATTCCAATGTTTTTATAACTGTTTGAGAACTTCACACACATTTACACTTGGATTCCAATGTTGTTATAACTGTTTGAGAACTTTGTTTTAAATTTCATTTTCCTTAGCTTAATATGTTTTCCTAAGTCCTAACTGCCTGTGAGAAATTCAGAGGAAGCTGTGTCGAAGGAGAACATCAACCCAAACACAGATGTTGCTGTGTGTCAGTGAATCTGAACTGACCCATAGCACCCTCCAGGTGTTTAGAGGCAGTAAATCATAAAGAAGGAGACTGTCCATCCTGCTCTCCCTGAGCGGCTGGTGGATTTGAACCATGTGCCTCTGGGGTTGCAGCACAGCTTCTTACCACTAGAATCCAGAGCTCCCTAAATTGGGAGTTCCCTAACACACCAACCAGTTCCCTAACACACCAAAGCTCCTTAATACTCAGCTTAAGTAGCCACAGTGAAACACAACACAGTTGAATTTTTATTTGGTTTCATATCTAACAAAAAGAACTCTAATTTATAATCCAAATTATATTTTCAAAAAGTATAATCTTACTATATAATTAGTTGGAAATAAGTTTTCACCTGATAAATCATGGTGAATAAGGTCAGCAAAATTAGGATCTTCACCCCACCAAAATATCCACAATTCTCTTCTTCCAGGTCTTTGATCTCTCCGCCAAACACCAAGTACATCTGCCTTAAGGCATCGACTAAAACTGCTCAAAATAGGGTCTTCCTCAGTCACCGGAAACAGAATAGGGGCAGAAGTTGGGCCTTGCCACACATATCTTTTCCATTTAATTCCCGTCAAGTCAGCCTGAAGAAAAGAAAGTATGACTGTTTATTAATGCGCAAAGACAAAAATCTATTGACTATAAAGTCCCTTTTTCATTAAGGCATTGCAATTTTTCAATACATGCTGGATATATTTTTTTTAAGTAGCAGTAGCACTAGGGAAGCCTTTGAAATTCTGATAACCAAGAATTTTAAAGGACAAAAACACAGCCATAGCACTTACAAACAAGTCAATATAATGTGCTCTCATAAGAAATAAAATAGAAAACCGTAAAGATGTTAAATATAAACATGTACTTTAATGTTGCAGACTGAGCAAATATTTCTTCTACTGTTCTAAATTCTATTCCAGCTGGTCTTAACTGTTTCTTGGTGTCAAATTTATAACTGACAAATAATTCTTAAAGCCTCATCATTCATGTTTGTAGAAGTCATAGTTCTAATAAAAAGACATCTGAATACTTCCTGGGGGAAAAAAAAAATTCTAGTTCATTTTTCACAAGTCCACTTTAGAAAAGTCAGATAGCTGCCCACAAAGAACTGTCAGATTTGTGCCAGGCTATCTTCAAAGAACTTGATCCTAAAAGTACCAAAAATAGACCTGAGTTGGAGATCACAGAAATATAAAACCTGGTGAATGTCTTTTTCCACCAGAAAGATACTGTTTAGTGAGCATCATAAATCATAAAAAGAAAACCAATGTAATTTACAGAAGGGAAAGGCATCAACAGATTTCAACTTAATTCTGTTTAAGAAATGTGACAGAGAGAATCTAACAATTCTTTGATTTGACTTAAAGGTGCAAAGTCTAAAGTGCCAAAAGGGAAACTAACTGCCGATACATGACTGGCAGTTTGCACTTGCCAGCGAGTTGTGCTCCGCCCACTCATTTCACTTACCTATAATGTACTTCTAATATTTCTCCTAGTACAAGAGAAAATTTAAAAGTTACTCAAACTTTAAGTAAGCAATGAAGCTAAGCTATGGTCTAACTCAAAACTAGCCTATCTGCAACAGTTGGTACTTTGGAAGGACTTGATTGTAGGAAGTTCCTAGATCTGGGCCAACCAACACAATCGTTATTCCTTTGCACAGTTTCCCCCTACTTTTCATTTCAATAAAACATGAAGCAGCCTCCTCAAAACATTCTAAAACGGCAAGCAAAAGAGACCGATATAGAAATACTTAATGCAAAAATCATAGCACCTCCTCCATTAGTCCCCTCCACTCTCACACAAACATAATGTTCTAATAAAAGCAAGATGGCTAGGAAATGTCAAAATGGCAAACCGTTCTCAAAGTTTACAAAGGAAACAAGAAACGGCATCTACTGGTTTTGACATAAAGATCTGAAGTCAGTCAAGGAAGAAGCCGACTCTGCTAGTTTGACTCATGGAAAAGAACGAGAAAAACCAAGTCCTGGAGTTGAGTTTATTCGGAGAAACCATAATACCACGGTGAGGGAGGACGACAAGGAGAATGGGCGCTTGGCAAAGTGCGAAGACGAGCACAGGGTCAGCAGAGAGGAAAGAAAAACACAAGAGTTAAGAAAGAAATGTTAAGTCAGGGTCCAGGCAGCCAGAGTCCAAGTTACAGCCGAGACGACGACAGGGGGCGGGGGGAAAGTCAGAAACAGGAGAAAAGTCGCAGCCGTCCAGCAGCGCCCAGGACGGCGCCGGGGTGGACGCCGCTTCCCG